AACTTTAGTAGATGTTTTAATTTTAGCAATAGGAATAAGCTTAACCCCAATTCTATATGGATTTATTTTAAAAGTCAGTGCTGTGGTCCAAGAAAAATTTCTAGGAGCCTAAAAGTGCCCAGCACTTTAGCTTATATGAAAAAAGTAAGTTTTTCCAGTTGCTCAAAGGCAAAGTTAGTTGCCTGTGGCACCCAGGCGCTTCTAGAGCACAGCCCTGGAAATACACTTTGATGACATGAAAAATATTAGCTAAAACTTTCCAAATGCACAGCTACTCAAACTGCAGGCAGAAGATCCAAAACAAAACTAAAAATATCTCAACAACAAACACTTTGTGCTTGTGTCCTTGTCACTGCTTCGGGTGACAACCGTGTGACAACTTGATGAGTCTGGTTACAGCTGTCAGTTAGAGCTTAATAATGACTTTGTAAACTTCAAAGAATCAATTTTTTCCAATGAATGTTTTTTGATATTTTTTTCATAAGGTCTCAATGTGATCTATCTGAAAGTTAAGAGAAATCTTGTTCTTAAGAATTGCGAACTTAACAAATAGATTCCATGTTGCTGTGCATCTGTTCAGTAGTAGATTGCAGATGGCGTCAAAATGTGTGTCACTGATGTTCTTACCACATTTTGATGTCTTCTGTGATCTTTTACTCACCAAGTGCATGGTGACAATCTGTTTTAACTGGTAGAGGAGCCAAGAAGTGTTTTAATATGTCCAGTCAATCATAAGTAAGAACTAATCAAAATGTGAGAATAATTTGACTTATCTAATTTAGGTTATATGGACACCTGAAGCAAAACTGTCAATGATTGAAGTTCTATTGGTATTAAAGTTAAATAGATCAGCCAGTGGGTTATGAGACAATACTAAAACAAACTTTGAGTTCCCAGGGAAATAATATTATAATTGCTTAATCTGAACCAGATAGCTATGTTTTTTTTAGGTTCAAACTTGTGTGCTTCAATTTAACTTGATATATTAGGCAGATGAATCAGTTTGATTTTAAAAATAATGTTGTTTTTGTTTGATCAAGGGATCTGTAACACTAGGAAGATGAGAGGAGAGGGATTGGGACTTACATGAAGACCCCTAGCAATTTCTGAAGACTCAAATTAAGCATCGTATCTTAATGATCACTGAGCTGGACTGTCAGACAGCAGTATGGTAAGTGCACATATTGGCCTGTGATCACAGAGGTTACTGGGGACATTTCAGTTCTAGATGTACAATATGACAAGGAAGATTAGTCTAACATCAGAATCACACTAACAAGATATTATCTAAGAAACTTGTTAAGAACCTGGACTTTTTACATGTACCAAATGGACCTTTTGAACAAGAGATATGTGTATAATGAAAGAACTGGGCCAGATGGGGATTGGTTCTACCCAGCAAATTCTTACAAGATAAGAAACCTGTTTTGGAGCCTGGACTGTCTGCATGCACTGAATGGATCTTGAGCTTTGTACAAGAGATGGGTGTAAGAACCGATCTGTTGAAGGGTGGTTCCACTCAGCAAATTCTCTTCCTGACTTTTTTGATCTGTGAGGCAGAGGCTTGGTCCCACAAAAAAGGTGAAAAATTAGGACTTGTTTTGGAACTTGGACTGTCCTCATATGCTGAATGGATCTTGAACTTTTAACAAGAGATGGTGTAAGAACTGACTTGTAAAAGGGTTGGTTTCACCTAGCAAATTCTCTTCTTCGTTTTCGTGATCTCTGACGTAGAAACATGGTCTCACAAAAAAGGTGAAAAATGAGAACTTGTTCTGGAACCTGGACTGTCTGCATGTGCTGAGTAGGGGTGTAACGATTGATATTTCTTGTGATTTGATTCAATTTTGATTATTGCCTTTCGATTTCAATTATTTCGATTCAATTATGCAAAATATTAATGTTTTTTTTATTCTTACAACATGATACACAATGTAAAC